CAATCTTTTTTCTCCATTCCTCAGCATTGGCTAGTTTTTATTGGCAATACAGGGAACAAGTGGTACAATGTTTACCCACACTTGACACAGGCAAATGCTTAGAACAAGCATCACAATGCAATATCTGGATTGATACCAGGTACTGGGGTAGAGAAATCAGAATTTGAATGAACAAGGGTATATTGTATGCATTCCACAAGAACATTATACCAACACACTTTATATGTCTGAAGGGGGAATAACAAACCAACATTGGTGAGACAGGTGCAGCGTAGAAGATCCAGAGAAGTGTTAGACAGTACATAAATATTTCAATGAAAATTGACAAAGCGCTGGTTTGGAAGGGAGGAGCTTTTCATATTTGACTCATTTCCTTGTATTTTTTTTAAAATACTAAAATGTATTTCATACTTATTTTTATTTATTTATATGTATGTGTCTGTGTTTGTACAGGCCAGGAAAAAAACACACAAACAAAACTAAACAAAAAAACATCTGCTATATTCTGGGATGAGAATTCTGGGCCTCTGGAGGGCAACCCTGCTATAAATTTAATAAACTAGAAAGTAGGAGGTCTCAAATATCCAGCATCCCAGCAGGTCATGGGAGGGTTATGAAGGGAAAACCAGAAAAGCTTAGGCTAGTTACTGCCCTGCTAGAGCTCACGTACCCCCAGTCACATAGCGAAACCAAGTATGCGCGGAAAACACCAAGCACGCATGCGCACTCCATTCAGCCACTCAGCAAGGAGGCTGGCTCATACCGGCTTTTCTCTCATTTGACCAAGTGTTCATTTTGCTTAAGACGCTTCCAGAGAACGGTAAGTCCTGTCACCCAAGGAGGGTTGTTTCAGGGGCAAGGAGGAGACAAATGTGAGAAGGGGAGGAGGAGTGTAAGAAGAGGAGAAGGAGTGTGAGGAGGGACGGAGTGAGCCCCTTCGAGGGAGTCCCGGTCACCATTTTAGCTGTGAGGCAAATGTCGTTGGCTTTACCAGAGGCCGCAGACAGAGAAATGGAGGTGGTGGGGACCTTACCAAGGTCACTGACAGGGATATGGAGGTGGGGGACCTTACCAAGGTCGCTGACAGGGAAATGGAGGTGGTGGGGACCTTACGAAGGTCGCTGACAGGGAAATGGAGGTGGTGGGGACCTTACGAAGGTCGCTGACAGGAAAATGGAGGTGGTTAACCTTACGAAGGTCGCTGACGGGAAAATGGAGGTGGGGGACCTTACCAAGGTCAC